TTTCACCATCTCCTTATCCACTGCCAACGCCTCTGCGCCTTCCCAAATACCAAAACACTGCATCACCTGAAAACAACCCCCCCTCGAAAAAAAGACAGCGCCATCCCCAACCACCCCCAAATCACCCGCCCCCTCACCATCTCCTCGTCCACCGCCATCGCCTCCGCGCCATCGCCCCCCGCGCCCGCGGCCGCCGAGGCGCCCTCCTGAGCAGGAGCCGCCTTCTTCCTCTTCACGCCGAGAAGTTCCGCGTCCGCCTCCAGATCTTCCTTCAGCTCCTGCTTGGCCGCGGCCATCTGCTGCTCTGTGTCTATCACCTCCGCCTCGTCAGTCTGTCGGTCGGTTTAGTGGTTGGGAGGTTGGTTTCGGGCTTGGTTTGGGGGTTGGTTTGGGGGTTGGTTTTGGAGGTTGGATTGGGGGTTAGTCTGGTGGTTGGTTGGTCTGGTGGTTGGTCGTTTGGTTGGACATGGTTGGTCAATTGATCCAGTGGTTGGTTTGTTGGTTTACAACACATAGATTGATCATGTCGGGCTGTTTGGTGGGTGTCGGTCTGTCGTCGGTCGGTCGGTTTGGTTAGTGGTGAGATGGTGGATTGGAGATACGGTGCAACCACCCACCTTCCCCCCAAACGCGCACACACACACACACACACACACACACACACACACACACACACACACACGAGAAAAACAGTCACAACGCACCTTATCAACAAACTCCTTGTGTCCAGTGCCACGCGAGTGCATGGCGCGCTCCACATCCGAGCGGCACACCTTGCCGCACTCCGCACACACCAGCCGCGGCACCTGCTCGGAAAGCCGCAGGTTTGCGCGGGCGCACACGCGCGTTCACGTGAAGGGCGGAAATGGCGGAGCCAGGAGTGGAGAGCCTGACGCAGGCCATCCCTCGGAGGGGGTATTTGATGTGGGTAGAAACGCGTCCCACAGCCGCTGGCACGAGGGTGTCGCCTGCCAGGCGCCGCCCTGCGGCTGGGCGTGGCGGCCGCTCCCGACCCGAGCGGCCGCGAGCGACAAACTCGGCATTGGGCTGAGCGACGGGTACAGGCCGTGTCGGCCCGGCTCACCTTCTGGGTGCTCTCCTCAAACTGGGTGTGCCTGGGTTCAGCCGGGGCGCGGCGGGGCGGCGACGCGTGGGCGCTGAGGGCGGCGGCAGTGCGACCGCTGTGGGAAGCCAGGGGGGCACGTGTAGTACAGGCCCTAGCCCCGCCCGCCAGGCGATTGGAGGCACCGGACCCCCCAGGACCAGCGCGCCCCTGCTGCCAGTGTCCGGCCCGCGCCGCAACAACTGGCACCCCCAGCCGGGGCGCGGGCGCCTGCCGCTCCGCCGCTGCGGCCCTGGGCAGCGCTCGCGGCGCAGCGGCGGATTCGTTGGGACGAGGCGCCCGCCGAGCTCATCCCCGGGGGTGCTGGGCCCGGCTCGGCCACTGAGGACCGCAGCTGCGCCTCACCCGGTGATGTCATTGTGGGCCTGCGCCTCCTTGACGTCTTTCAATAGGGTGTCGCATTGCTGGGGGCGATAAGGAGAGCGGAGGTTGGGGGGCAGGGGGGAGGGCGCCGGGGGCGTCCACAGGGGCTCGTCGGGCGCTCATGGCATGTGGGCGGTTGTGCATTCGCGTGCGTGTTCGCTTCCCCCAGGCTCAGCGGCAGTGGGGTGAACAGCGTGTGCATACTTTGCTGCCGGGTTAGGAAGGTTGCTTCGACTACGCAGACCTGCAGCGCAGAGTTTGTACATGCGCAGCGGCGCACCACGCGCCACATCACGCTGCTGTCGCCTCACCTTGCAGACGAGGCTGGTCGCCATCGTGCACGCGCCGGCTGTACAGCTGCAAGTTCAGACTTTGTGCACAACGCAAAAGCTGGAGCTTCCACGCAGCCTTGCTCCGAGGATCGTGGTGACAGTGATCTACAGTAGTGCCGTTGTGTACGGTATCACCAATCCGATGCACCGAAGCCAGTCCAATACAAATGTATGACGATAGTGAGCAAGTGCTCCATCCTGACAACCGCTGTACTGTACTTCTCGTCACCCGTGGAACTTTGCCTGGTGTGTAAATTAGGGGGGAAATTCCGGGCGCCTTCGGTCATGTGTGATCCTCATATTTGATCGCAGCAATCCATTCCGCAGTCTATCCCCTGATCTGTTTGATCCGTCTCCCTTGCCACTCTCTCCGGGCCTGTAGCCACCCGACAGCAGTCATGTCGGACGATGATATGGAAGGTACGCTATAAAGGCTTAGATGTCGCGTTTGCGTGGGTGATGCGGCCCGTCTGATCTGGTGCCTACTGCCGCGACAGACTATGGCTTCGAATACTCCGACGAGGAGCAGGAGGAAGAAGACGTTGACATAGAGAATCAGTATTACAACTCCAAGGGTGAGGCAGTCGGATCCGGGTCCGGGGCGGCGTGCGCCCGCGTGGCGCGCTTCGCAGTCGCGTGCGCTCCACGAGCCTCGCCCGCATCTGGATGCGTCACGAGGGCCGCGGCTGCTGTACTGTGGTTGTGATGCTGCCGCGCCGCAGCACCCGCATGCCGTCAGGCGCAGCGTCGCCCCACCTGAAGGCCCAGGTGCCCAATGAGCAGTTGCACCTGCGCGTTTCGAGCACCCCCAACCTCGGGGCCGCCGTCACCCCGCCCCGCCTCGCTGACCCCCCCCCATACCCCCCACACAAACGCCGTCCGGCACCCCCCC